AATTATACATTTCCAAACAATGGTATTTTAAATATAATGGCGATGATGAGCATGCCCTGCTGACTTATAAATTGCTACGTTTACAGTAAAATATTTTGGCTACAATTGCTGTAACATCGTGACTTAACAATTTACTGTTTTTTATAGATCATACTTCCAGTCTAAAAAATAATGAACCTGCTTTAGCTTCGAGCTGATTTGAAAATGATGTTTACATATAAAAATGTCTAGATAGCCATAAGCCTATTCTTACTATAAAATTCCTTGGAGTAAATTTCTTGAGATAGATAAAAAATGTTCCAGGCACATGTAGGTAATAAAATAGAATAAAAATAACGATTAATTTTAAACGGACATGATGACCTAGCCAGTACACGAAGTTCAAAGGACAGAAGTATGTGTATAATTAGAAAACGACCATGAAATATAATTGAGTATAATTACCAATTCAACAGCGTGTTCAAAAAGTATTAAAAAAAACTCTTTAGAGTAATTACAAATTATTAAAAATATGCTCTGCCAGGAAACTTTTTAAAATTACACTTAACCTGTCCAATTAATTTTAGATATATTTTTTTTGAAGACACACTAGTCGTGTTATATCCTCCATTCATTTTCAAAGCAATATTTTTCAAACTAAATAAACAAGGTACTATCTGAATTTATCTCTTTCAAAAGTAACAAAATGAAAATATACAATAAAAAATTGATTTTTATCCGCGCAAAGTAAAATGTGGACGCCACTGGATAAATTGCATTAATAGCATGATACAAATAATAGGCATCCAGGAGATTCATTTACTTGTAGCCAGCGGTATACATATACGGTTATATTATTCATTCTAGAAAAGGAAGTCGAGCGTGATAATGGAAAACAATATCTGAACTGTAAATATAGAAAATTGGTATTTATTAAAAAGTAAATACAAGTTTCTCGTCCACTGCGTATTTAATTTTCTTACACGGGTCTCTGGCTGATAGCTGTATAACTGCTACCCTATGTTTTTTCACTATTTGAACAAGGTTGTTACCTATGAATGCACTTTAGTAATATCGCCCGAGCATGTTTATTCATTTCTTATCCAAATTATGGGACATGTTAGCATTCAAAGACGTTTCAAATACAAATTGCATATTTAAATATGACGCCAGGGAACATCAGAATACACTTTTAATTGACGCAAAACATCTATTTGCATATAATCACCCATATAAAAACTGTCGCTGGGGATAATTCCATGTTAATTAAAAAATGAGTTTACTTTGAACCTTGATACACGAGTCGTTAAGGAATTACTTTGCATACGTTTAAACGATATTTTTTTATTGAAAATAATGGACTTGAAGTTATTGACGAGAAAATTAATTTATATAATGACAGCACTATTATGCTATAAACACACTGTCATATTAAAATCATATTGCATAGTTCAAACTTTTGAATAAATGATTGTGAGACACAACTACTCTGCGGCCTACAACTCCGTTTAGTATTGAATTACTCCTTCAATATCTAAATGGAAAGGGAAAGGTTATTCGTTAGCAGAATCGCCAGACATAGACCGATAGCACTGATAATTAAGATATGACATATATTTGACAAGTGAGACATAACCTGCCATTCACAAATGAGCTCTTATTTGTGTTCCTTGCAACAATCTCTTTGGACAAACATTGACACGAAATTTATGGAGCTAGTATACAGGGTGGTCCAGATTTTAATAGACAAACTTCAGGAAAGTACTAAACAACAAAAATTAACATCACTTTGTTCACATTTTTCACTATCACACCAAACAAAATTTGAAAAAAAATGTGTATCATATTTGGATAAATTTGATGAAGGGGTTTTCCGATATTTAAAAAAAAATGTTTTATTTTTGTTAATTTCAACGCCCTGTATCTCATAAATGGTGACTTTTTGCGCATAATATGTTCATAGAGCAAAGTGATGTTAATTTTTGTTGTATATTACTTTCCCGAAGTTTGTCTATTTAAATCTGGACCACCCTGTATATAAATTATTCTATTTCTGCATTTTAAGGATTATCTTTTTAAATGGCATCCTTTTAAAGAATGGGGTAAATAGATATACCTATTTGTAGGTATATTAATAGGTAGATATGCAATTATAAACAGTTTAAAAGGAAATGAAATATTGAAGCAATAAAACAAATTGACAATATACATACTTAAACATAAGATTATGAAACATGTTTCTAATTTGGAATGCACCCATATCCCGTATTTAGTAGTAGTAGTATTTGTTAAAATATTGTGTTTTTATTTCAGGAAACTTCTCCGCTTAGTGGTTGGAATTTGTTTTATTTTATGATTGTTATCTTGTTAGGGTTACTCGTATTAGGTAAATTAAAAAAGTACTTATCCATCTATAAACTAATCTTACATAATCGCGAGTAGTTCGTACGCAGTTACAAATCCTGCTTCGTTTTAAATACATTTAAACAGAAATTAAGGGACATTAAAAAAATCCCAAAATTTTTGGTGATTTTCAGAGCTGTAATTTGGAGGAAAATGGTCGTAGAGAGAAAAAAAAAGGAAATTGAAACTTCAAGTGTCTAGTTTTCGGATTTGGAGTTTTTGAGTAATCATAAGAAAATCAACGGAAAAAAATGGCAAATTTTTGCTTTTCATTAAAAACGTCCATGGACCTTAAAAATTATTTTTTGGTAATTTCTCCATAAAGCTCTTTTACATAATGTAATTCTCTTCAATTTGAGCGGTTCCGGAGCCCTGTACGATGATTTGTTGCTGAGTTATCGTCGATCAAAACAAAAAAATAATTTTTGACGTTGTCAATCAATTACTCGGGAAATAATGGTTTTACAGAAAATCCAAGCAGGGTTTTTAAAACTGTGAAGTATTCTCTACAAGTCGTAATTATTGGTTTTTGACAAAAACATTTTCTTCGAAGTGAACATGTTGGTTGGAAAAAAGGTAAAAAATTGCTTAATTGGGGTTACTTGAATAACTTGGTATAACTTTGCAAATAATGAATATACTAAGGATATTGACTTAACCTTTTTTTCCTAACGCCCGGAATGTTTCAATTTGTCGTTTTTGCTGAAAATCAATGTAATAAGTAATTTTTCACTTTTAATTCATCTTTAAGTTAAAAATATTGTTTTAGCAATAATCCATATTTTCTACATCAAAAAGCGGTCAATATTCTAAGAAAATGAAAAAAAAATTGGACACTGAGATTGAAAAGTTACAGTACTTAGTTTATTTATTATTTGCAAAGTTATTCAAATATCCCTAATTATGCAATTTTTTACCTTTTTTTCCAACCACTTCGAAAAATTTTTTTTTATCAAAAACCAATAATTACGACTTGTAAAGAATACTTTGCAGTTTTCAAAATCCTGCTTGGATTTTCTGTACGACCATTATTTCCCAAGTAAATGATTGTCAAAGTCATAAATGTTTTTTTTTGCTTTGATCGACGATAACTCAACGACAAATCATCGTACAGGGCTCCGGAACCGTTCAAACTGAAGAGAATTAAATTATCTAAGAGCTTTATGGTGATATTATCAAAAAAAATTTTTAAACCATGGGTCTTTTTACAGGAAAGAAAAATTTGCCATTTTCCCGTTGATTTCTCAAAAACTGCTTATGCTAAAAAATTTTAAACTCCAGATCCGAAAACTAGACACCTGAAGCTTCAATTTCCTTTTTTTATTCTCTCTACGACCATTTCCCTCCAAGTTACAGCTCTTTGAAAATCACCAAAAAATTTTAATTTCTGTGCCTAGTGTGGATCATAGTTAGTTAATTTGTAAAAAGTCATAGCTTTTTTTTCAACAATTTCTCCTTTGCACTGAAAATCAAGTTTTAATCAACTTTAGTGTGATGTCGGCTTTATGGTATGTGCTAATAAACCAAAAGAAAAGAAAATAGGTTTTTGTTTTTTACTGGTGTATCAATTCCTCGTTCAAGTACGCCGAATTGCGTGCTTGATTTACTTGTGTTAACGATCCCTTTTTTCTGGACCGGATGATGGTGAGATTAAGCTTTCAGATATCATATGGCTTGGTTGTCTGTAAATACTGTGGTCTAGGATATTTAGGAATGTAACTCTATTGTGAAGCTGACTTCCAAATAAACTCAATTAATGTGTTCCAAAAATCCTGGTATGTTGAAATGAAAAATGTATCAACATAACTTGAGTAACACTTCGGCTTGTTTGCAAGAATCGCAGATATTTACACAGTTGATTCTTCAGTTTGTTCATAACAGAGAAGGTCCATCTGGTTCTTATTTTTGTCAAGTCCACTAAATTCTCATTCTTATCTTTTGCGTTGAACTTTCAATAAAGTTCCTCCAAAGCTTCTGTAACTGGAATTTTTGAACAACGATGACTAGATATCAGATGGATCTAGTTGAATTCCATTAATTTTGCTGATAAAATCTTCAGCGTTGTGGACCTTTGAAAGGCAATTAAGCTGGGGTATTCTTCAATCACTCGAAATAAAGTCTCTGTGTAGTTCCTTGGGAATGCTAGATGCTGGAATCGCAGACGAACCATTCTTTGAACTGTCTGGATTATAGATCAAATCCTGCAGTGGGTTCACCACTTTAGATATGTCAGAAATTTAGTTTGGGCTACCGTACACTATGTGATTATTAAATAATTTATCGGGTTCAGTATAGAATTTCTAGACGAATCAATATATATTTTTTTAACCACTTTTTATCATGTATCGCTTACCCTTATTTGTATGTAGAAAAATTAATTAATAAAATCTAGATATTTAAAACGTAATAAATTTGAGGAGATATAGCAATTATAATTAACTTTTTTACAGGAACCACACAAATATTCCATGCTGTCAGTGAGCATACATTTTTTGTAACAGTAAGCAGATGTAGCGGATGTCCTACTCGTTAGCGATTTCATCTGAGAAGCTGCAGTTAATTAACGAATTTCTACTATTGTTCGCTTTGAATTTGTGTAAGTTAAAGAAAAGTACATGTGCATATAGTAACTATTTATTCATTTAATCTTTGAAAAGTTAAAACGTATAGAAAGGTTGAACACCGTATTGTTCGTAGACTTGAATCCATTTCTGGTACGATGATTCTCTAGGGTTAACTTTTATTTCCAAGTTCTCGTCAATATCTAAATAATAGAAATTGTCTGAAGAAACAGTGGGCCATTGCAAGTTATCGAATAGTTCCTTTTTTTCAGGTGTGGGGTTCCTAAAAAAAACTGTCAAAATAATTTTTTATACATACTTTGAATGACTTACAAATATTTGGCAAAATCGGTGAATAAAGTCATATATCGGTTGGCTGTTTTGCGATCTGACTCTGGGTATGAGCTTATATCTAGAGCAGCAGTCCAAAGGTATCTGGAATCTTCCCCATGTTGGACTCTACCTTCAAGTCCTAAAATAGAAACAGTAAGTATAAGAACAAAAGGGAGTTAAGTAGCGGTATAGGTAATTTATTTTTAAAAGGAAATAACCCATGAAAAAAGAAATCGTTGTGAAAAATTGTCTTATTAAAAGTGATCTAAAGTGATAGCAAAAAATGTTTTTTTAATAGCAACGGGTACCACAAACTTCGTTTAGTCCGGTATAGATACATGACTTTGCTTTTGTCGACTGTTACTATTTTTCTGCCAAAATAACAGATTGCAATCGGTGAAGAAGCCATGAAGGTGAAAGAAGAACACTGATTGTATGATTGTTATGTTGGCTGTTTTTTGTTTCTACAGTACAATACTGCTTGCTTAAAATTAGTTATTTCCTAACTGTCACCCTTGCGCATCTATTTCTCTTACATTTCGGTATTAGTTTAGTGTGGATATAACTATAACAATTGAGTGTTATTGTTATTAGTGTTTTTTACATTTAATCGGGTTGTATCGCACATTTGAGGGAAGAACACCAGTCACCACTACAGAACGTCTCAGAAAACTGCCTTTGTTTGAGGAATGGTGCCATCTGTAAAGTCCTTAAAATCGACAACAAGAATTAATATCATCAACTAAGGCAGGTGTAGTGGTTTTGCCCCCACAGAGTCTATGCTGAGAACAATAAGGCCAGGTCAAAGATTCCTACTAAGGCTAAGGAGGTGCATTATAAGCCTGTAATTGGTATAAGCAGTAGTGCCGCAGGGGTATATTTGCAGCTTTTGCAGTGATATTGTACATGCAAAACATTTTTGTACGGCATTTCTAAAGTATATAGGTTATACAAAAAAAATTAACCTCGAACTAATGCCGTACAAAAATAGCAATACCGGAAGACAGCAAAATTTTTGATTTTCTGAAAATTTTGGCCCGGTTTTTGGTGATTTACGGCATTTATACTGCAAGTTACGTAGATAACTTTTTTTAGTGACGCCGTACGTATCTGCTGATACAGGGGTTAGAAATGCAGGGCACAATTTAACTCTCCAAATAATTCTTAGCAGTCTGCCGTCTGAAAATTATGGTTAATGCAAAAGTTTATAAACAATTACTTGTAATTTGGAATTGAATTTTATTTTTTTTCGATAAAATTATTAATTCCTGTACAGCAACCACTTTTTTGATAAAATATAACAATTACAAATTACAAATACAAATTAAGAAAAACAAATAAATAAATTTTGAAAATTTAAAATATTTTGAAAATTCCTTGTTATAAACTAATAATGTTACATTCAAAATATTATGGCTGTAATTGACTTTTAATAAGTAAAAAAATAAAAAAAACAATGTGGTACATTTTTAACTAGTGGATCTTACATAGCTGATAATATTTTTCATTAAATTTTTACTATTGTATATTTGTAGGAACAATTCTCCGAAACTGTATAAGTCCAAAATGAGTTTTATCCTAATTTCAAGAGAAATTTAGTTTATATCATAGAAATTATGATGGCATTGTCTTTAAGATTAAAAAGAATTGTGTATAGAGAATCGAGAAAATACTTTGAGAAATTTAGAAATTTGATGACGTGCAAGAAAGTATTATTTTTAAATAAATATAATAATAAACAATTAATTTCAACTCAATATTCATGAGAATTCCTATATAAATACTTACATTTCAAATGATATAATATATGTTTTGAAGTAACAGTACCCTCGCATTTGCATATTTGCAACTTCTGTTACAATAATTGTTTGAACAATTTAATTAAGCAAAAATTGTGATGAAGCCTTTGGCATACAATATATGTTTAAAATTAGTAAAAATAATTTAAAAGTGCATTTGTTACAAAAACAATTTTAAGATTGTTGTGAAAAAAAATTAATATGTAAGCTTTTCAAATTTATAAAATTAAAATTTTTATATCTATGTGTTTAACGGCATATTACTTAAAAATTATTTTACATCTTAAATAATGTTTTGGCAACAATGCCGACCATTTTTCAATTATCGGAAACTATAAGGGTCAGAATAGAGGTTTGCATCCGGGATTTCTCACTCCTGTATCGACAAATATGTACGGCATTATTGAAAAATATTTCTATATGATATTGTAAATCTTATTATAGAAAGGCCGTACAGTAGTAAATAATTTGTATTAAGGAGAAAATAGTAGTAAAAATTAGATCAATTCTTGCAGGTAATACTTATTTGCAAAAGTGTATTTCAATGTGTATTACGGCATTTTGTTTTTGTTGATTATTGTTGTCAGTATTAACGAAATATATTAATGCTGTACAAAAATTTTTCACCGTGAAATCCTACTTTTCAGAGGGAAATAAATTTTCCTATAGTAAGCACATGTTTAATGAAAAATGTACGGCATGGCCAAAAATGTCATTATTTTATAAAATCTAATTAAAATTAGATGTTGGTTCATCACCCCCCATAGGTTACTTACAAATAGAGGGTTGCACCCTGTATTCCTAACCCCTGTACCTATCAGCAAGTACGTACGGCGTTGCTTAAACATTTATCTATGTATCGATCCGAAACTTGCAGTATAAATCTGTAATAAATCACCAAAACCTGGGCTAAAATTTTCGGAAAATCAAAAATTTTCCTGGCTTTTTTTTATAATCTATGTACTTTAGAAATCCCGTACAAAAATGTTTTGCCGAACCCCCCCCTCCTGGTGGACAGGTATAGTTACCTGTGTATAGTCTTTCCGAAGTCAGTTGAACATGAACATGCAAGAAACGCATGGCAATAAAATTTAATGAGTTTCATAGGCGTCCCTAAAAAAATTTTCTGCTAAAGGTAAAGAATTATAATAATTTGTATATAATGTGTAGAAAATTTCTATTATATGTTCATTTGACCAATAACATATTTTAATTATTTATGTCCTCAAACAATTTTATTATATTGATGATACATTTCGTTTTGTTCCATTTCAAAATGTCTCCAAAATGCCATGTTGTAATAATATTATTTCTCCCTTTCGCAATTCTAATATAAACGAATAATAGAAGATGAATATAAAAAAATTAAAATTACCTAAATCATACCAAATTCCGAATTGCTGCACTGCACTGCTGGGCAATTTGTCAAGCACTTGTCAAAAGCTGAGATTTATTGCCCAGTAGCCCAATGCAGCTGTGTTAGATTTCATTTGCCCGCGCTCGCATTCTTCAACTGGACGTATACATTTCTACCACCTCCACGTGTAGTTCGACCAGGCCTGTTTATGGGTACGGTTAAATAAATATGGAAACAAGTTCTTCAAATATTTCAATGCCGGGTTGCTGCATCAGCGACCGAACCTGGTACATACCGTCAACGTCTTAATTTTTCAATTGACATCGGAAAGACTATACTCACCTGTACCAACAAGAATTGACGGCATAGTTTCTAAAGTTATTGTTATATGTGGTAGTATTAATTTATAAGTAATTCATGCTGGGTCAAATGACCCCTTGAAAATTTCCGATGGGCTTGTAGTCTAGTAGTTTATTTCTTCGTCTACCAACCGTCAATGCAGATCCCTTCTCGCCCTACGTAATGTTCTCCACATTGTAACCAGTACTGTTTAGTTATACTGTGCTGGCTATTTCTGAGTTTTGGGTACAGATCAGATGTTTAAGATTATGTCTACCTTTTTAGTTATTTGTATTACTTACCCTCCATTGAAACGTTGTTTCTTCCCAATAGTCCATGATAAGAGAACTGATAAAAGTAAACATCGGTATATTGGGACTGAAACTCGGCGTATCTTATGACCCCTTTATTGAAAGTATTATCACTCAGATACTGAAAAATTAAATAATCATGGAGGTGACATCTACTATAATGTGTACATTTATACAAACCCTAATAGCAGAAGCTAGATCATCTTGGAACAATCCAGATGTATATATTTTTCTTACTGCCTCTCCTGCTTCAATTTTTGTTTGGTCGTCTACTATGTTCATATTTTCGCTGATTATTTTTTGTGGATACTTGTCAGTAGCTGCCATTGACACTTTGAATGAATCCAAATCTAAAATTTGCATTAGGACACTTAGAAATAAGCTTTAAAAAGATGAATTTATAAATATAATGTCTTGTTTAATTAAATAAATATTTTGAAATACAAAATCTATTTGCAATTTTTTTATTAACTTCCAAATATTCTTAAAAACCTCCTTTATTTACATAAATGTCCTTAAAATATTTTTCTGTTACATATTTTGCAATTAAGATTAGTTAATACTTTAAACGAGTCAGAGGTCAAGCCCAATGCGGACAAAAATACCTCATTAATTACATATTCAGAAGTATTGAGTGTTAATGATATATTTGAAGGTAAAGCGGAATTTTTCGATTCCTAAACTGTATCTATATATTACCATCCTGTTGTGCAACTAGAATAGAAGCTTTTGTAACTAATGTTATTAAATTAAAAATTATGTTAATCTTATTTGCATTGTGAAATGATTTGAAGAATGTTAATTTTTGTTCACCTTATTTTTTAAACATCGTTTGATGTAATGTAACTGATATTTCATTTAAACAAGAGATGTTTTATATTTTGAATTACATATTTTCTTTATACAGGTATTAATATACGATTATATAGGGTGTTTCTAAAATAGGGTCCCAAACTTCTGCTGCGTTTATAACTCATTAAAATAAGCCAAAAAGTTCCTATTAACATGTGCCCTAAAACGCACCCTTAGGAAGTTATATGCCCTTAAAAGGGCTCAAACAAAACTTTTTTTTTTCTGTTATTGACAAAACGGTCGCAAATAAATAGAAAAAAATTTATGGGTCTTACATAACTTTTTACGTTAAATAACATGGGCTACTCCGTTTTTCGACATGCAAATCATATGCGTCCCATTTAGGTTGGTGAAGGGGGTTTTCGGCCCGTAATTTTTTTTATTTCAATTTTTTTACAATTTTCTCTACAGATTTATAAAATCTTAACAATTTTACGTAAAAAATATTATCTTTGTCCAAATCGATATTTCCAATGGTTTTCGAGTAAATTGAGTTTGAAAATTACTCTGCTCTTTAAGTTATTAGGCCAAAAATTACAAAAATCTGTTTACCATGGCAAATAAAAGACTGACGTTGCCACAACGCTTAACAATTTAAGTTATTGATAAACTGTCAATTGAGCTTTGCAGTGTTTAATTAGTAAAAGTGGTGAGTGGAAAATTTAAGTATACAACATTATTGCAACTCATAAAATGGAGTCATATTCAAACACGGAAATGGCAGATATGCACTTTATGTACGGCCGTGCGGCTGGAAATGCATCAGAAGCGAGGCGTCTGTATGCGGCAGCATACCCGAATAGAAGACTTCCTTCTCGACAGGTATTTCAGAGGATCCATCAACGTTTAAGAGAAAATGGTTCGTTCCAACCAAGAGTAAATGATCGTGGCAGAGACAGATTTGTAAGAACACCGGTGATGGAAGAAAATGTATTGAGAAAATAAGAGATGCAAAATTCGGAATCCGCCTCGATTTTCGCAAAAACCATTGGCAGAACTGCCGACGTGGTTCGTAGTCATTCGGATTTAAAGCTTGAACACGCTGGATATGAAAAGGATGAAGTAGTTGTTCGCAAAGAATTCGCCAAACTACGGAAAAACTTATGTTATGCATACGTGCGACACTTCTTACACTAACCCTTGGATTGTCCTGCACAGCTCTCAATACATTTTCTTCCATCACCGGTGTTCTTACAAATCTGTCTCTGCCACGATCATTTACTCTTGGTTGGAACGAACCATTTTCTCTTAAACGTTGATGGATCCTCTGAAATACCTGTCGAGAAGGAAGTCTTCTATTCGGGTATGCTGCCGCATACAGACGCCTCGCTTCTGATGCATTTCCAGCCGCACGGCCGTACATAAAGTGCATATCTGCCATTTCCGTGTTTGAATATGACTCCATTTTATGAGTTGCAATAATGTTGTATACTTAAATTTTCCACTCACCACTTTTACTAATTAAACACTGCAAAGCTCAATTGACAGTTTATCAATAACTTAAATTGTTAAGCGTTGTGGCAACGTCAGTCTTTTATTTGCCATGGTAAACAGATTTTTGTAATTTTTGGCCTAATAACTTAAAGAGCAGAGTAATTTTCAAACTCAATTTACTCGAAAACCATTGGAAATATCGATTTGGACAAAGATAATATTTTTTACGTAAAATTGTTAAGATTTTGAAAATTGAAATAAAAAAAATTACGGGCCGAAAACCCCCTTCACTAACCTAAATGGGACGCATATGATTTGCATGTCGAAAAACGGAGTAGCCCATGTTATTTAATGTAAAAAGTTATGTAAGACGCAAAAATTTTTTTCTATTTATTTGCCACCGTCAATAAAAAAAAACAGTTTTGTTTGAGCCCTTTTAAGGGCATATAACTTCCTAAGGGTGCGTTTTAGGGCACATGTTAATAGGAACTTCTTGGCTTATTTTAAAGAGTTATAAACGCAGCAGAAGTTTGGAACCCTATTTTAGAAACACCCTGTATTCTTAGCAAGTTTGTAATGAAGAGCGAAAAAATCTGCGATTGAAAAAATACCAATATTATCGTTAGTTCACGTTTTACTAAACTAATACATAATTTTTTGTACAAAGTTGTCCTGCAAATGAATTTATCTAGCTCTAACACAGGAATGAAAATAAAAAAACATTTTGAATATGATTTCTTGCAAAACGTAACTCTCTGTCGAAAGACGTACGTTTTGCTTTTGTTTCCAATTTTAGATCTCAAACAATGGCATTGCGATGGAATAGTAATGATACTGATACATGTAATTGAACTAGTTACCTACCTGCAGCTTTCGCAATATATTCCTCTGAATTCATGCCAATTATCAGAGGCACTTTGTTAATCTGTCCGTTTTTAACCAGCTCATACATCGAATCAGTGATGAAGGCGCCATCATGTTCGGGTTCAACCACTGGTGCCCATACCTACCACAGATAATACCACAATGATCTTAAAGAAGAAAGTATTATATAAAAATAAGAGCAAATTTAATATTTTCAATCAACTCAATGAACACTACTCGTGTTTTTGTAGTTACCTGATACTTTTCGCTGGCAGCATCAATGGCACTAGCGTCTGCGCTTATTAAGAAATCTGCAAGTTGCTGCGTTGAACTAGTTGTGTCAAAGCTTGAATCTATGTAAGCTGCTACTTTGTAGGCACTGTCCAGAGCATGTCTTTGATGGGACCAGGGACACAAGGCGGATCCACTTTCTGCAATAGCTGCTCTAAAGAGCCCTGGAATTTTAAAGTAGATACTATTATGTTATCTTCTTCCAAAGATGGGCAATAGAACATTTGAAAGAATCCATGTTCATGAACAAGATTATCTGTGATAAAATGAAGGTTTAATTATTTAATAGGTTAAATTATATATTATATACAATATCGCTGACCCATATGTGCCACAGTGTTGACATAAAGAGTTAACAAAAATAAACCTAAAAAAACAACGAATTGATTTTAATCTCATCAGGGAGCCTTAAAGGCAATCAGCACATATTAAATCAAATCTAGGAAGGCATATAATTGTTCGAAAGATTGGTAAGGCTAAAAAGTCAAACGATGTGACCTTTAGTTCGGGTATTATGATATGTGGGTTATCAAAGTCATAAGAACATTGATGAGTTAGTCTCAGCAAGCTCATCCACAATTTGTCAGGGCAATGGACCTTTCTGCGGCATTGCTTATTAAGACTGAACCAACACAGCAGATTAATAAAGATATCACTAAAAGTGTTAAACAAACATTACAGGCTCAGGAAACATCTGAGTAACATTGGTCTGGTGGAATACTATCTGAATACCTGTGAAGCTTTCACAGCATTCCCAAAACAGGCAGGTTGGATTACACCTTCCCAAAGGCGTATCGACCCATCAGCCTGACCTCGTTTCTGTTGAAAACGATGGAAAAGCTGTGTGAGCGATATATAAGGGATAGTGTGCTACTAGATAGACAGCCACACCCTAACCAACGTGCATACACTCCAAGGCGATCAACCGACACTGCCCTTCACCAGGTGGTGAGCAGGATCGAGACATCCTTGGACAATAAGGGTCCACCCTGGGGGTATTCATTGCTATAGAAGGGGCGTTTGACAAAACGACCATCTCAAAAATTAACTCAGCTCTTCTGGAGAGAGGAGTTTTTCTTACCATCTGTAGATGAATATCGAATATGCTCACCAAAAGAGCTATACAAATCAGTGTGGTGGATGCCTCCGCGAAAGGAATTGTTGCAAGGGGTTGCCCGTAGGGAGGTATTTTATCACCACTGCTATGGAACCTAGTTCTAGACAGTCTCCTATCCACCTCAACTCGGAAATCAGCATCTATACCATCGCTTATGCAGATGACCTCACTATGCTAATCAGTAGAAAAGTCGAAGGGACTCTTTGTCAAAGAATGCAAACAGCCAAAGTGCAAAGTAGTGTGAGGCATGCTCTGTCAGTCAACCTCAGATAGAAATCGTTCTCTTCACGAGGAAGAGAAAACTAGGTGCCAATAAAGGCACCAACTCTCCTAAACACTACGCTAAGCTTTGCAGCTGATGTGAAATACGTAGGGGTAACAGTCGACGCAAAACTAACAAGGAATGTTAATTTTGAGAGAAGATTAAAAAAGGCGTACATATCCTATGAGCAGTGCCGCAGAACTGTTGGTAGAACCTGGGGAATGAAACCAAAAGTGATTATGTGGATATACACTGCCATTGTGAGACCAATGTTAGCCTACGGGGCTGTCGTCTGGTGGCCGAAAGTCCAGCAGACGAAAGCTAAACAAAACTCAGCCAGGTACACAAAATTGCCTATCTGAGCATAACTGGAGCTATGCTAACAACACCCACCGTAGCAATGGAGGTAACGCTGTGTCTGCCACCTCTGGATATCTATCTAAGAGAAGTGTCTTGACAACCATGCTTCGCCTCAAGAACGTTTCAAACAGGATGTAGGATGTGGAGACGTTAGGAGTCGCCTATCGAATGAGGTCGTCAGGAAGATGCCCCTTCTGCAGGTGGACACTGACAGTATTTCTCCTCGGTTTGCGTTCGACAGACCCTATACCGTACTCATTAGAAAACAGGAGGAGACCGCTCGCGAAGATGTAATCAACGTCTTCACAGACGGATCAAAAAGGAAGGAAGGTGCAGGATGTGGAATTTATTCTAGATCCTTGCATATCCGATATCAGTGGGCAATGGATATGCATGCTACCGTGGTACAAACGGAATAAGCAGGTATAACCACAGCCGCTAAAGAAATCGCCCGTAGGCACACTGCGTGTAAAACCATCAGAATCTACACATATAGTAGACAAGCATTACTGAGCTTACGTAATCAAAAGATAATGACTAGGTCAGCATGGGAATGCCACCAGGCACTGGTCGTGGCCTCATTTTCCTACAGCAGATCTGTATGCAGGGTCAGGGAATACGAGCAGTTCAATGGCAATAAAGAAGCTGACAAGTTAGCCAAGAGTTCATCAGGTCTCAATATTTTTGGACCCAGTCCCTCCAGTGTGCTTCCGCTGTCAGCACTTATTGGCATTATTAAGGAAAATACCCACAAAGAGTTTATGAAACGGTGGGATGATACAAATAGCTGTTAATTTGCTAAGGAGTTGTTAGAATACCCCAGCAAGGATACAGCCAACAAATACCTGGCCATGTTTAGGTAAAATTTTCGCCTAGTGACAGGTAATTAAACTGGACACTTCTGGCTAAGGAAGCACCTTCACAACATGAGGAAATGTGAAACACCTCTTTGTAGGGGTTGTGGACAGGATGACGAGACAGTACTACATGTTCTATACGAATGCACTACCGTCTCGTCAATAAGAGAATCCGTATTGGGAGAACGTTGGCCTATATTAGAGGGATCTCCCTGAGTAATGTCATCACTTTTTTCTCTGTAACAGATTCCAGACCTTTGAAGCTTAATTAGAAGGCTAAAGGCTTAGATGAAGAACTCTAATTTAATGCAGATTGTTGTAGTATAAAAGAATGCATGATGTAGCACCAATTTACCACATTTAAAGAAACTGAGATTGTACCTGCTGATCCTGGGCTCAAAATTTGGTATGTTACTGAAGAAGCTCCAGCACTTTGACCCATCAAAGTCACTTTGGTAGGGTCTCCACCGAAAAGATGAATATTCTCCTGCACCCATTTCAGAGCATACTGCTGATCCTTCACTCCCATGTTTCCAGGAATTACAGTATCTTCCGTAGACAAGAACCCTAAGAAGAAAATCATTTTAAAAGTTATCTAGGCGTAGTAGATCAAACTATACCGAAGGGTCCAACGCGGTAGTTGAATGTAACCAAAACTACCCCCCTGCTCATGAAAGATTGAGGCCCGGCATACTGGTACATGGCTGATCCGTGGGTGAAAGTTCCACCATAAATATTTACTAAGACGGGCAAAGTGGACTCGGAACCAGGCGGCTGGAAGTCATAAATGAAATTTATACCTCTTTGTCATATAATTAATGTCTTACTTATTCTATACAAACTTTTCACCATTCATAAGTTTTGGGAGAGTGTGAATGATACCTTCATCAGAGGACAAGTTTAATTAAGTTATGTTCCATCAATAGCACATAATATGAACAGAAAAAATTTGCAAATTTTTGCCAATAATGACTAGATTTTGTATTTTATTAAAGTTAGTCAAATTATCAATTTCATTTGAGAATTTTTTCTTAATCGCTGTTTTCATTTCATTTGTAAAATGGAAACGTTTATATTTTATAACCATATGCCTGGTAAAATAAAGACTCGAAAAATTAATTTGATTTAAATGATAATTAAATTTATTTTTAATTTAATTGTTCATACTTTAAGTGGTTTTTTATTATAATTTTCCATGTAAGTTTTAACAATTCTTATACACAAAAATACTGTCTAGAGTAAAAATAAATAATTATTGTTATTACAGCGTTTTCGAAGGAGAGATTTTAATTTTAAGACGTCCTAGCTGATGCCAAAGTGATGTGATTTACAAAAAAATCATTCTATTAAAAGTTTTATTATAACAGATAAGTTTTCTGATATCAGTTCTGTAATTATTAATCACACATTCGTACTACTATGTCAAAATACAGAGTTAAGTAGAGTTAGTAAGCAGATATTCCTCATAAAAAAATAAGAAAACAATCAAGTATAAATTTTTTTCCAGAGACGCTTCATTTTCGAAATATAGGGCGTTAAAGATTTTTAAAAAAAATAGAATTTTTTAAATAACTTCTAAATGAAGAAGGCTATTTAAGCCAAATTTGGCATGACACATCTTCTTATATGATACCATTTTTCCATAGAAGTAGAAGTCTGCAAGCAACCAGTGGCGGAGTTATGGGGACTCAGTCTCATTAAATTATAAAAAAATTATTGCGGCCCTGCTGAAAATAAAAAATGATGCTGCAGTTTGTTATTGACAAAAAGTGTACATTCACTTTTTTCCTAACTCTTATTGTTTCATGGCAAAATTGATTTTTCGGAAGGGTGCTCCTGGATTCTGTCGCGAAGACGTTCCTCATAAAACCTAAAAAAATATACGAGTAGTACCTATTAAAATTGGTCTTAGTCTCGAGTATGTGCGAGTCAAATAAGCCTTTTTGTCTCCCCTTCCCTTGGATTTAACCAATAGTATTAAAATTATTTAGGAGATGCTTCGTTTTTGAGATATAGGGTGTTTTTTTTAGAAAAAAAAATTATGTTCATGAAAACAATATAAATATTTAAGTCAACTAATGTGACTATGTCGTAATGCGACAACGTAACGACCCTTGCAATACTAAATTTTTTCAGGCGGTTTGTAGTCACTTCATTTACTTGTGTTGTGTACTTTTAAATAAAATAAGATGGCATAAATTTTCATGTAAAATTTATTTGTAAATTGAAACAACCAAAAAATTACCAATTAATATTATACCTAGACAAAGCGAAAAGTGAATAAAAAATTAAATGATTAAAAAAATATCACGACATCTTCTAATTATGGAGGTAGTGACCGATCGACACTGAATTGCAGTTAATTCTCGACACGCTTGGCCTATTTGCTGTCTTAGATCTTCTAGGGTATCAACTGGCACCTCGTAGACTTTTTGTTTAACAAAACGAAATAATCCATCGGTGTCAAGTCCGGTGAACGTGCGGGCCACACTGCAGGTCCTCCACGACCAATCCATCTCCTGGGATAATTAATGTTTAACCACTTCCTAGGACCTCTATAAATATGGGCAAGACAACCATCTAGTTGGAACCAACTGTTCATTCGAGTATTAAGCGGAACATCTTCTAACAGATCTTGAAAACCATTACCAAGAAACTCGGTAAACATGTCAGCATTTGACCGATGCGGAAGGAAATAGGGACCAACTATAATGTTGTCCAATACATCCAACCATACGTTACATTGGAATTCATGCTGAAATGTTCCCTTACCGCCCGTGGATTCTCGTAGGACCAATATGGTTGATACTTTGGTTTAAAATTCCCCTTCGAGTAAATGTTGCCTCATCTGTCTATATTACTGATCATCATTATCTGCTTGGTTTAACATCCAGTCACAAAACACGCGCCTGCATCATATGTCCTGAAACAATAAATGTTGCACACGCTGGATATGGTACGCATGGCGTCCATCAGCCCGAAGAGTCCTCCAAATGGAACTTGACGAAATACCTAGCCAATAGCTAGATCTCCTGACACTCGTGGATGGATTTTCATCGAAATGGTTTAAAATAGTATTCGATCTTACTTCGTCCTGAAGTGGGGCAAAATGTCCATCAGCATAAGTTGTAATACCGAAAGACCCAGTTTGTCTGAGACGACTGAATGTCGTTGAAAATGTTTCCTTTGCTGGTAGTCTGCGATAAGGAAATCTTACTGCATACTCACGGCGAACCGCCGTGGCATATCCATCACAAAAACCATATACAAAGACCATTCATTGTACGAAAATATGGACGGCATTATTAAACTTATTTTTATTATTAGTTTGAACGCTTTATCTAATGGATAATTTATGCAACAATTCGCAAAATAACATTTACGTCAAACGTCATTAACGTCAAATTAACATTGCTTGACAGCAGCCTACTCGAAAATTTTTGTTGAGGTTCGTTTTAAAGTTTATCAACAGAATCCAGAAGCACCCTTCCGAAAAATCAATTTTGCCATGAAACTACATATATCTAAGAGTTAGGAAAAAAAGTGAATGTATACTTTTTGTCAATAACAAACTGTTCTATCTAAAAACAGTATAATTTTTTATTTTCAGTAGGGCCGCATTAATTTTTTTTATAATTTAACTAATCTTAGTCCCCATAACTCCGCCACTGGTTGCTTGAGGGACTTCTACTTCTATGAAAAAATTGTATCTTATAAGAAGATGTGCCATGCCAAATTTGGCTTAAATAGCCTTCTTCATTTAGAAGTTATATAAAAAATTCGAATTTTTTAAAAAATCTTTAACGCCCTATATGTATTTCGAAAATGGAGCGTCTCTGGAAAAAAGTTTATACTTCATTTTTTTCTAATTTTTTTTTTTATGAGGAATATCACCTTAAAGTTTGTCGACTTAATCCTGAAGCACCCTGTATATCAAGTGCTTGCTAATGGTCTAATCGCTCTTTAACGGTTAATAATAATAATAATAATAATAATCGCTATTATTCTAAATTTTGATTTTTGGCGGTTTGGTGTTAATTTAAGTGTTATTGTAAGCTTGTTCTGGACAAACTTTTGGACTTTTTTAGTGAATTGTGATAAACATTTTTGCCAAAATGTCACTCAGATATACAATAATAACGAACCTTTATTTAATTTAAAACATTAAAAAATACATTTTTAAAATTTTGTACAACCATTTCGATCCATGCGAAGCGCTACCCTAACAGCTACAAGATCATGGAAAACATATCGGACATGCTAGACCAAATCGTATGGAACAAATTGAGGAACAAATTCTCAACACTGTCGAAGAACAACCAACTACTAGCATCAGACAAATTTCTCGGGCGGTTTGTAAAATTCTACATAAAAATCAACTGTATTTCATCCTATGGTATATCCCCTGCTCTATTATCTCTATTTAAATCTTATTTTAGTAGTAGTACTAGTAGTAATAGTAGTACGGCAACAAGCAACAATCGGACCACCACTATTAATTATTATTATTAATAACGTAACAAAAAAACGCCACGACAACAACTATTTACTCTATGTGGACGACCTGAAGTTGTTCTTGGAAGTTAAATCCTCTACTGATTGTACTAGATTACAAGATAATCTTGACAGATTACACAATGGTGTTCATGTAATAATCTACCCTTGAATGTAAGTAAATGTAAAATTATGTCTTACAGTCGACGCAAAACTAATCTAGATTTTGATTATAAAATTGGTGAATCTTTTTTAAATAGAGTTACGCAATTTACTGACCTTGGTGTTACATTCGATACTATATTATCGTTTGACGAGCACATTAGTTTAGTAACCAAATCTGCTTATAAGAATTTAGGCTTTATTTTGGGTAATTCTAAGGACTTTCAGAACGTAAAGGTTCTAAATATAATGTATGCGGCATTTGTGCGCTGCAAACTTGAATATGCATCGGTTGGTTGAAATCCCATTTATAATGTTTATAATATTCAATTAGAGAAAGTACAACGGAAATTTTTAAAGACTATTCATTTTATTAGTAATGGATGTTATCCTCCTCTTGGTACACCTCAAAATTTATTGCTTTCTTGTTTTATTTTTCTGTCGTAGGCGAATTATGTTTTCAATTATATTCTTTTTTAAAATCATAAATAACAGTTTAAATGCAGTCTCGTTAGTCTTAAGAATTTTATATCATGTTCCTAGACTTAATTCTAGATTTCACTCTGCTTTATAATTACCCACACCTCGTACCAATTTACTAATAGAATCTCCCCTATATCAAATGATTTCCAATTACTAAAAGTATGAAAAATTGTTTGTCTAGCAAACGTGATCCATATCTTGTATTAGCTTATTTGTTTTATTTGTCTGTTATTGTAACTTAAGTTCTTTGTCTGGATTTTATATTTTATGTTTTATATTTTGATTGCTTATTTTATGTAGTGTTTAAATTTTTAAATTTAATGTTACTTTGTCTTTTTCTTTTAAAATTTAGTTAATGTTGTTTGTTATATCTTATCCTGCAATTCGGACTTTGTCCCTTTGGATATTGTAACTTCTAAATAAATAAATAAATAAATATCAGTCGTATACTCGTAAATCTTCTTCGTTTTTATGCGTGTTAATTAGTACAAAATAATGATAATAAAAATGGATTTCTATCTGTGTATAAAATCTTTGGCGTACAAAGCAGAAATCCAGACGATTGAAGAATTACGAAAAAAAATTGAACTTGCATTCAAAACAATTCACCGGCAATGATTATTAGGTTAAGACTCGATTCCGTGTCCAGCAAAACGGAGACAGTTTTGAACATTTATTGTAATTTTCAAATTCGTCTTCTCGTATAGAATACCAGCATTTAAAACTATTAGGTACCCATCATAAATCAAAAATCTTTCTTTTTTATTGACGTCTTATTGGTTTATAATGACTGCGCACCTAAGGCAAGGTTCTTTTCTGGTTCTTGTTCGGGATAGTAACACGCAATTGTTGATTACTGAAAATGATGAATGTTTAAAATTTTTAAATAGAGATCTTTGATTAATATAATTATACTTCTACTGTTTCATATTGAGGTAAGACAAAAACCACCTTGTATATCATGTTACAAATATTTTCACTGCTAAATATAGGAATCTTTTTTTAGTAGAATCTGTGTCGAGATAAGCGTGCGTGACGAAAATGCAAATTTTTCAAAAACATGTACTTACCTACACAACTGTTTATTTCAAAACATGTACTTCAATGAGTTGAAAGATAGTAGATCATATCTCTACTCGCAAGTAAATATGAACTAAACAGAAATGACTAAATTTAAATTTATTTACATTTTTTTATAACGCAGCTCACCAAATTCTTGCCGTTTATGTGGATATGTAGATATTAACGGTAAAACGCAATTATATTTATAAATTCAATAATGCTTACGACTGGTGAATAGACATTTAAGTAGAGGCAGTCCTCATTTTCGTAATGATAATTTGCCGTTACTTGATAGCACATCTTCGTGTTGGTTTGGGTGTCTAGGATTCCTTCCCAACTCGGAACTGGTTGTGGCGGCTGGAAAAAAATAGAACATACCCATAATAGAGAAGAATGTATAAAGCGGATTATTTTAAATGGGATTAAAAGCTGTATTTATGATAATATCAACTGGAAAAATTAGTCTATAAAAATAGTAGGTATAGGACTAAAAATATAAAGAAAGGGCCACCATAATATTAAAATTTTGTAAGGTCTACAACATAAAAACGTACGGAACATGAATACAAGAAAGGGATAGTTGTTTTATTGGCTTGTCCTAATATTTGAGTAGGTAGAAAACATTTTGCTATTAATCTGACCTGAAATATTTTTTTTTCATTCTAAGTTGCGAAATATCGCTTTTGTATTGAATGTAGAGATTTTTATGAGCGCGAGAGAATAAAAAAAATTACTCGTGAATGTGAAAGGATCTTGTTTTTAAGAAAACCGATTCGACATATTAAAATTGACGAGAAAGGAAGGAAAAATGTTGATATTTATGATAAATTTTGTTTATAGAAATAGGTATCAATCAGATTTTAGTTACTGAAAAGAGAATTAAGAAAATATCCTGGATTATTTTAAATAAAAGATCCCGAAAACCTACCATTATGGTGAATTTTCTCTGTTAAATGTGCATTGAAAGTTAAAGAAAATACTAGTACTTATGGTGAATTTACTCTATCTTAAGAGTATATTAAAAGTTAAAGAAAATATTAATATAAAAAGTGTTTAAAACTGATACCTTATTTGAAATGTAAATTGGTTCCAAAGAAGTCTAAGATATTGATGAAATGAAATCGAAACATTTATATAAGAAGTACTCGATCAACGACTCTCATTAATGAAGATAAATGCCTTTAATTTATATAAAGGCGTATTAATGTTTCTAATTATGATGACTTTTTTCACTTTATTTTAATAGTAGGAATTCACGGGCTTGCAGAAAAGAATTACTACTAAATATGGCAATATAAGATATTGAAGACAAAAGCTATGTGGTTATCATTAAAATTCCTGTTACATCGAAAATAATCTTCTTTGCGTCTTAAGTTTACTAAAAAAGTGCCAATCAAATGGCAGATAAATAACTACATTATTTGAAATTGCTGCATGCGAAATATTCAGGCCGCAGATTCAGATTTCTTCACTGATATTAACTGATTCCAAGGCAGACATTACCTCCACCAAAGTACATCAGGATTGGAAGTCTATCTCAGAACGTGTATTGAAAATTATATTGAGAATAAATTTCAAGTTTCAAGCAGAATATATTCGAAGGTGGTTGAAGTTTCTGGTTTAGTTGCTTTGTCAGCACCGATACTTGATAATCAATTGATAAATAATTCTTGCTCCAGTTCAAGATATTAAGAGATTACTCTATCTCTCAAGTCTTGAATAAACTTGGTCCACTCTAATGCTGGGAATCTAAATTCGAAAATTTTGAATAAAGAAAATAATGGTAGTTGATTAGTGGCAGTTGAAAAATTTGTTCAGTTGAATTAAATAAACCTATATTTAAAAATAAGTAATGTTATTGAAGCAATTTATCCAATTAAATTAATAGGGGTAATTACATATTTAGAACAGGTACGTCAGTTAATTCTACAATTTTAAGTAAAACATACGTATTATACAGGGTATTAATGAATTTTTGTCAAAACTTTAAAGGGGTGTAAAAGCAGCAAACACTGAGTTAACTGATTTCACAAACTTGCATCGGAAGTTTATAAGGTCATAGGGAAAAATGTTAATTAATTAAAAATGTGTTTAAAATTGCTTTGGAACTGCTGAAATACATGTATTTTATAGCGGCGAGTACTTACAAAAAATTCTGTAACACTTTTTACGAGTTTGTAGGTTTCTTATGAAGCTGGACTGCATTCGAAAGTCACTTTGTAATACACTGTTGTAGTGATTGCTGTGCTGTTTTTCGAGAGTACATTTAGCCGTATTTCCAAGTTTTCTTTTGACAATGACGCATTTATTTAGCCATCGCGAATATTATGATATGGTCATAATTTATGGCGAAGCAAACGAAAATGCCAACAGAGCTTGTCAAGTGTACCGTGCAAGATATCCTGAACGACGTGCCACCGCACCGCGAATATTTGTTGCTGTAGCGCAAAGAGTTTTGGACACAGGTGAAGTACAACCGCGTAGAGGTTGCAAAAGGTGGCCCAGGGCGACCACTAAGAATCTTAAATGTGGAGGAGATGATTTTAGATCTCGTCGAAGAAGATCCGCATGGTGGCACTAGAAATATCACACAGCAAGTAAATATGTCGCATCCTGCTGTGTGGCGGACATTACGAGAAGCTCAGTTGAATCCATTTCATATTCAACGTGGTCAAGCGCTTACTCCGGAGGATTTTCCACTACGTCGAGGTTTTTGCGAAGTTTGCTTCAGGAACATACAAGAAATCCTCAATTTACAGCGCAAATACTTGTTACAGATGGAGCATGTTTCAGTCGAAATGGTGTACGTAACGTCCACAACACTCACCACTGGACTCGAAAATCCACACGAAATACGTCGCGGTGCCTTTTAGCAACAGTTTTCAGAGAACATGCGGGCCGGTGTCGTTAATGACATTTTAATAGGACCTTTTGAATTGCCTAGACGCTTAGACGGTGCTTCATATCTAGATTTTTTGCAAAATCACTTGCCGGAGTTATTGGAAGACGTGCCATTAAATGTTCAGCAAAATATGTGGTTACTGAATGACGGAACCCCGCTCACTTTTTTTTAGAGAGTGCGCTACTTTCTAAACATTACTTTTCCCGATCGCTGGATAGGCCGCGGCAGTCTAGTTAGATGGTCCCTTTGGTCCCGGACCTCACCCCTTTAGACTTCTTTTTGTGGGGATATGTGAAAAGTGTTGTGTATTCCACGGAAGTGACATCGGCCAACTGCGACATCCTATTGCCGTAGCTTGTAATACGATTCGAGAGGAAATGGCAATGTTGAAATGCGTGCGAGCGAATTGGATACGTCGCGCTGAAGCTTGTGTGCAAGCAAATGGTGGGTACGTCGAATATCTTTGAAAATCAGCAGTTCTTAAAAGGTGGCTCCTTGCAATGTTCAGGAATGTCAGATTTTAAAATTATATTTTATTCAACACAAATCCGTGTATTTACCTTATTTTAACATAACGGATATATGGCAAAAATATTTGACATAAGTTCATTAACACACACATTAATATGTAATTCAAAAATAAATAAATAAAGAAATAATATTATATATTTGATGGTTATATCTGGTATTTCGCTCTATTATTTTGCAATTTGCAGACGTAAAACCCTTTTCTAAATATGTAGTTACCTTTTTTGAGTCTTAGAGAATATAATAATTATTAATAAAGTAGGTATATGCTAAATTATTATTATATTTCTTTATTATCTCTACAAATTTAATTCTTTCTGATAGTCCTTACCTGAAATCTTAGATTTCCAACAGGTGGCGCTGCAAATGGCACTTCTTGAAAAGAATAAAATGTTACCCCATCACTCTCAGTTACTGCTATCCTTCCGCGTATTTGGCCATATGGTAGAGTCACAATGGGCTCCTCTGCAAGCTGATCAAATTTTATTACCTACAGATGCTATAGTTTTATAGACATACGCAGAGGACGGTACATGTAGGATGGATGGGTATTTTATGCAATTAATTGATTATCTAAAATGACTTGCAAATACCTTGTAACGTTACTTATTTTTCTGTATTGTTATTCGCTTTAAATGGTTTGTATTACTAATATAAAAGATTTCGAATAATTCACATATCAAAAGAAATTTTTTGTTGCTTACTTCTTTAGTGAGGGATTTATAATATCCACAGACATCTAATGTTTCCTATAAGATTAAAAAATATGAAAAACACAGAACTAGATAATAATTGTTTAAAAATTATTTATGATATTCCAATATTTGTAGATTTTCTGTACTTGTATTTTTAATTTATGCCATAACGTTCTTGAATCCACTGTTTGAAATAAACTGCAATATTTTTTAGAAAAACATGTCTCTACGTCTCTTATACTTACTGGTATTGCAGAAGATCCACTAATAATTAAAAACAGGCTGCAAAATGTAATTAAAATCATTATTTAAACCAAGAACACTAATTATACAAACAGTTACGTTTCGTTCTGTTATATAGTATTTATAGTAGATAATAATTTCAAGTATTTTCTAAATTCTTCCATTATAATTTTGATAAACCCCTTGAGAAGAAATTCAAAATGATAAGAACATATTTCACTGATAGGCAGTTTTCTACTAGAACTTATCAATAATAGTACCTAAGTAGGTACTTATAATTTTTTTTAGTTTTTATTCATATACATATGTGTATACAATACAGGGTCGCTGATATGTAATTTAAATAATATAATCAATTATCTCCTAAACTAAGATAGCTATCGAAAAATCATAAGACACAAACGTTTTAGGGTTTTCTAAAATCTATTGCAATAAAGAAAAATTAAGTATACAGGATCAGTCAAGTCATGACGAAACAAAGTTGATTTTTCTTTAATGGAACACCCTGTAGATTATTCCATATTTCAATTCATCTCGAAATTCTAAATAAAATTCATATACCACATCATGTACCCAAACTTTTTCTAGATAGCGAACATTGAAAATCATTTTGTTAGTGTGAATAATTTTCTCGCTAAAATTGCACGTTTAAGTGAACAGAGCGTATTGAAGTTTTAATAACCATAGGGTATGGTGATAGAAGACGAAGTTGTAACGAAGTAGTGGATATTTTTCATAAATTGCATCCCGATCCGGAACGTATTTCTAAATCAATCATTTTATAAACATTGCAGCGTTTTCATGAAACTGGAGGTTGTTTGATCGACAAAAAAGTGGAAGACCAGTAAGCGTTACAAATGAAGAAGATTATTGGGATGTCATGTCATTATAATACGAGTCGATATTCCATTCAAAAAATTTACAAAAGGGGAAAATTACATCCATATAAAATGTATTTGTTACAAGAATTGAGTGTAGACGATTATGATCGTAGAATCGAGTTCTGCGCAGATATTATGGATAAATTAAACAAAAATGTCAACTTTGTCCCTCACATATTGTTTTCTGACGAATCTACATTTTGTTTAAATGGGAATGTAGGCTTACACAACTGTAGGTATTGGTCAGACCAAAATCCACATTGGATTAAGGAAGTTCACACCCAACGAACACAGAAAGTAAATGTTTGGTGTGGCATTACTTGTGGACACAATATAGGACTCTATTTTATAAACGCTTATTTGACCTTTGAACGATATCTATTACTTTTGCAAGAACATGTTATTCCAGAGCTTAGACGATTATTCCCGAACAATAATAGTCCCAATTTACCGGCAGGACAAATAGGGTTTCAACATAATGGGGCTCCTCTACATTTTGGACGTGTGGTACGGGTATACCTAGATGAAACTTCTCCTGATAAATGGATTGGACGCAGAAGGGCATTTGAATGACCAGCTAGGTCTCCCGATATGACCTCGCTTAACTTTTTTCTGTGGGGTTACATAAAAATGTAGTCTACAAAAATAGGCCGTAAAATATCGAAGAGTTGCAGGAAAGGATGGGCATGGAATTTCCACTATTCCTCTCAACACCCTTTTAGATTCACTACAAAATTTTGTTCAGCGAATTCATTACTGTCAGGAGGTATATGGTGAACACTTTGAGCACCTTATAAAATAGAATTCCATAGAAAATATTTGTTGTTTATTAAAACTTGTTTCCTCTCTTTTTTTAATCTGGAGTAACTATTGTTTTCATAACATTTAGAATATCCAGAACATTCATTAAAAAATATATTTTTTCGTTTCTTGCATTCTTATCAACCCTGAACTATTAAACTNGCGTACAGGATCAGTCAAGTCATGACGAAACAAAGTTGATTTTTCTTTAATAGAACACCCTGTAGATTATTCCATATTTCAATTCATCTCGAAATTCTAAATAAAATTCATATACCACATCATGTACCCAAACTTTTTCTAGATAGCGAACATTGAAAATCATTTTGTTAGTGTGAATAATTTTCTCGCTAAAATTGCACGTTTAAGTGAACAGAGCGTATTGAAGTTTTAATAATTATAGGATATGGTGTAACGAAGTAGTGGATATTTTTCATAAATTGCATCCCGATCGGGAACGTATTTCTAAATCAATCATTTTATAACCATTGCAGTGATTTCATGAAACTGGAAGTTGTTTGATCGACAAAAAAGTGGAAGACCAGTATGCGTTACTAATGAAGAAGATTATTTGAATGTCATGTTAAATGTGGTTGAAAATCCAATAAATTCGACACAACAGAAGGCCTTACATTATAATATGAGTCGATATTTCATTCAAAAAATTTACAAAAGGGAAAAATTACATCCATATAAAATGTATTTGTTACAAGAATTGAGTGTAGACGATTATGATTGTAGAATCGAGTTCCGCGCAGATATTATGCATAAATTAAACGAAAATGTCAACTTTGTCACCCACATATTATTTTCTGATGAATCTACATTTTGTTTAAACAGGAATGTAAACTTACACAACTGTAGGTATTGCTCAGACCAAAATCCACATTGGATTAAGGAAGCTCACACCCAATGACCACAGAAAGTAAATGTTTGTGTGGCATTACTTGTGGACACATCATAGGACTCTATTTTATAAACACTTATTTGACCTCTGAACGATATCTATTACTTTTGCAAGAACATGTTATTCCAGAGCTTAGACGATTATTCCCGAACAATAATAGTCCCAATTTACCGGCAGAATAGGGTTTCAACATCAGGTCAGGAGGTACATGGTGAACACTTTGAGCACCTTATAAAATAGAATTCTATAGAAAATATTTGTTGTTTATTAAAACTTGTTCTCTCTCTTTTTTAACTGGCGTAACTATTGTTTTCATAAAATTTAAAATATCAGAACATTCATTAAAAAATACATTTTTTCGTTTTATGCATTCTTATCAACCCTGAACTATTAAACTTTTTAGTTTTTCTGTAAAATACTAATAATAAAATTATAACATATTCATACCCTTCACCGTGTGTTATTTTCAAAATAAATATCCATAATTTGGGGCCCTTTTTCTTTTATAAATTTGAGAATAGTAAAAAGTTACTTTCAAAGTTCGATATCTCGAAAACGGTTAAGTCCAGGTACATGATGTATGTACTATATGAATTTTGTTTAAAATTTCTAGAAGTATTGAAATATGGAATAATATACAGGGTATTCCATTAAAGAAAAATAAACTTTGTTCCGTCATGACTGTTTGAGTGATTCTGTATCTGTAGGTATACTTAAATTTTTTTATTGACTTTTCCCATACATATCATCGACTCTGTATATAATGTATTTAGATTAAAATTATGTTTGAGAAAGTAATCTTTTGTGTCTATTCTCTTCTCTATAACGTAGATATCACTAATCAAGATCACTGAACTAAAATTTAATTCAAGTGTTAACAAAAGTACATCATAAACGTGAAGCGATAAAAACAAATTTCCTTAATAAGGATTTAGAAATGTTTGAATTATAAATAAAGTTTAGGCGATATTACCTTCCACCTACCTGCACATTTAATCCCACAGACAATTTTTGTGGAATGTGCCCTAATCTTAGAATACCTATTATTAACATCAATGATAAGGAAAAATAATGTAAAAGGAAGATCTTAGCTTAATCTAGTCTGACTTGGGATATCTAATTTGTCAATATTAATTAGTATAAATTTTATTAACACCCATGGAAGTCCTTCATATTAAACGGCCTAAGTACTTCTAAGAATGTAATTATAGTCCCAGGACTAGCAGCTTCTTACGTTACATCATTTCGTTGAATATATTTCCTATGTAATTTACTACAAAGTAGTTTTATTGGTGGCCATTCAATAAAGAGCTTGGCTGGTTGCTGTCCAACAGCAGCGGCAAAAGTTCAAAGTTGCAAAAAGTAGTTGCTACCTACAAATTACTTACTATACTCGTATTTATTCAAACTACTTTAGCGATTATTGACATATTGATTCCGGAAAAGTGTCGATATAATACACATGGCGTTTCATGATAAACTGTACGAATTGTAATACTTAGTAGACTGAAAAAAATCAAGCGTTTGATTTGATTTTTACTTAACTTTCAAACAATCAAATTTTTCAATACCATTTCAACAAAGAAAACTAATACTTTCATGCTACACTTTAGTTATTAACACCACGACTTGCAATTAGTACAGTAGGTACTTTACTAATTTCACCATTAGAAGCAATGTATAATTTATACAAGAGAGTTGAAAAAAATGTTAGTTTTTAACTAAACGGAATTTAAAATGTATTATTTCTAAATCAATGAAGAATAAGGCACTTAAAGGAACAAAATTCGTTTCTCATTTTCCCCAAAGAGCGAAAATTTATTGTAATTTTCAATAATAATTATTGTAACAAAAATTTCCGTGATTTTCTATTTATAGAGAAGTAGTATTACAGGCCACTTAATTATTTAACTTATGTAGAAACTAAAACCTAATTATTTAATAATAAAAAAACTCCAGACAACTCTATAGGAGCAACTTTTCCTGTGAGAAGTGAATAAATATTTTCCCATTGGATATAAAATTTTTTAAAGGTAGAAAATATCAGCTGACTGTTCTCATTGTTAAAATGATATTGAAAAACTGTTTAAAAAATAGTGTCACCAGAATTTCTTTACTTCAAGAGTTGAAGAAAGTGTGAAAAAAATCTAATTCATAGTTTTCCTTTGTGGATTATATTAATACAATAATACAAATAATAATAATAATAAAATATACGTTTAATATGCTATATGAAATAGTAAAAAAATATGCAGGTCCGACTTGACTAATATTAGTCATATTCCTGTTATGTTAGTTTTAAAAACAGATAAATGACTAAATTGGCAATTATATAGTAATACAAATTTTGAAAAAAGTTTTAAAGTTGCATCATAATCAATAATGATTAGATATGCTAATTAAAAACGCATATGAAATAAAATGTTTCGTCACTAATATTAAAGTTTTACAAGAAAAATTGACAAATTTTTTTGGACAAAGATTGAATTTTAGATATCTCTGTGGGGTCTAACTAATTGCAGACATAAATT